TTCTTCTCTACATCACTTCTCTCACTCCCTCCATTCTTTTCTTCTTCTCTACATCACTTCTCTCACTCCCTCCATTCTTTTCTTCTTCTCTACATTACTTCTTTCACTCCTGCACTTCTTTTCCGTCTCCTCCCTACCTCATAGTCCTTCTCTCTCCCTTCTCTCTCTACTTACTTCTGTTCTTTCTTACAACCCCTTATATACCGTTACAAAAAACATTGCTTTCATAGTAATCAATGACATCAAAATACAATCAAGTCTGGGGCACATTCTTCATGATTTACGACAGGGATGAAAAGTTACGGCAAAGAGATATTATCCCAAGGCATACGAGACATTCTGGTGCCTTGAAACCTTTTAAACATTTGTTCCTACATAAATCTATTCTTTTCTCTGAGAAGCAAGTTAACCTTCACATATGTTTCTTAACCTTTGTTAAGTCTTGTTAATTTTAGTTGTTAGGTGCAATTAACTCTCCATTAATTTCTTCCATACACTATCTGTTTTTAGCTTACAAAAACATCACTTATCAGGGAAACTGAGGCTATGAAAAAAACTTTTCTATTTTACTGATCATTAATTTAAGAACATCTAAGTCAGACTTTTTATTTAGTATCTGTATATACCCATAGCCTTTATCTATAGTCTAATTGTTTTTAGGAACTCTTGTACCCACAGCCCTTATTTATGGCCTAGTTGCTTTTAGGGATTCTTTATTGCCTTAAAGTAAGGCTACAAGGAAGAATGTTTATAATCATTAAGCCTAAACTGGTAGTAATTCAATTGATAAATCCTGTCTCCTAGCAATCTTAAGAACATTGTTAATATAAGTACTAAAACTACCTAAGATTACAAGTAGAATAAAATGTAACTAATATATGGCTTGTAACTTTTAATAAAAATAAACTAAAGTGTTGTTGTTGTTGTTGTTGTTAAGTGCCTTCGAGTCGGTTCCGACCCATAGCGACCCTGTACAGGGTTTCCGAGGGTGTAAATCTTTACGGGAGTAGAAAGCCTCATCTTTCTCCTGCGGAGCAGCTGGTAGTTTCGAACTGCTGACCTTAAGGTTCGCAGCCCGATTCGTAACCACTACGCTAGCCGCTCCGCGGGAGAAAGATGAGGCTTTCTACTCTCGTAAAGATTTACACCCTTGGAAACCCTGTACAGGGTCGCTACGGGTTGGACCCGACTCGATGGCACTTAACAACAACAAACTAAAGTGTAGGAGAGTCAAAATCCAAAGTAGAAGGATACTAATAAAATCATGAATAAATCAGAGAATGATTCAAAAGGAAAAAAAAATAACTAGGGGCCTGCGCATAGAATATTATCTTCCCTTGTAGCTTTGCTATCCAAGGAAAATAATTCATTGTTGCTCTGCAAAAACAATGAATTCTTCGTGCGCAGGTTGCCCCGTGTCTCATTTATTTATTTTAATTCCTTAATTAATTATGGCCTTGCCATGAACCATGACTAGTGAAACCAATTATGCAATCGCATTTCCCTAAACTAGTGGCCAGTCCAGTGGACAGGTGTGATGGATTCGACTGCGTGCCCCAAAATGCTGCTTCTGTTCTTAGGTGCTGTCAAGTTGGTTCCAACACATAGCAGCACCCTTTGCTGTACTTTCCAGTCTTGAGCCATCCACACAAGCGCTGTTACATTTGAGCCCCTTGATGGAGCCACTAAGTCAGTTCATCTCAATAACAGGCGTCCTCTATTTCACTAAGCATGATGGACTTCTCCAGGGGCTGGTCCCTCCTAGTAACATGTCCAGAGTATGTGAGACAAAGACTCCACGCTTCACTTCTAAGGAATATTCTGGCTGTACTCTTCTAAGACAGATTTGTTTGTCCTTCTGGCAGTTTATGGTATATTCACTATTCTTCACTAAAACCATAATTCAAAGGCATCAGTTCTCTGATCTTCCTGAACCATGCCCCGTTCTCCCAGGCATATGAGGTCATTGAAAATACCATGGCTTGGGTCAAGTGCAACTTACTCCCCAAAGTGGTATCTTTGCTCTTTAACACATCAGCGGAGGTCTTTTTGCAAAGGATTTATCAAATGCTGTATGTCACTGGCTTTCCTGGCTGCTGCTTTCATAAGGGTTGTGATAGTTAAGACTTGTGTTAATTTGACTGGACTAGAATTCTCAGCGGTTTAGTAATAGTTGTTGTTGTTAAGTGTCATCAAGTCTGTTCTGACTCATAGCATTCCTGTATAGGGTTTCCAAGGAGTGGCTGGTAGGTTTGAACTGCCTACCTTGCAGTTACCAGTCCAGTGCTTACCCCACAGTGCCACACCAGTTAAGATGCAATAATGCTCCATGATGAGCTGTAATACAATGTAATCTACTCCCATGATGAGGTCTACTAGGAGCAGCCAGTCAACTGAAAGGACAGTTCTTGAGGGTGTGGCCTGCTTTCAATAGATTGCCCATGTGATAATGCTGGCTAGCTTTTTCTGGGTCTGGGTGCTGCATATGGCTCTTCACCTGACCTCTGGTTCTTTGGACTTGAGCCAGCGTCCTGTTCTATTACCTGCTGATCCTGGAAGTTATCAGCAGCCTGCCTTCTTACCTGCCAACCTTAAATTCACTCATCTCTGCTGCGAGAAGCCCGCCATCTGACCTGCCAATCTTGGGTTCATCAGCTCCAGCAGGTACATGAGTCAGAAGTCTCCAGCCTGACATCTGATCCGAGGACTTGGAACTTGCCTGTCTCTACAACTGTGTGCACCATTTTCTTGAATATAAACCTCCTTCCAAATACAAAGTCCTGGTGTGGCACTGTGAGTTAATGAACTGGATTGCAAAGTTGGTTTAAGCTGCAAGGACGGTGGTTCAAGCTCACCAGTTGCTCCTCAGAATCCCTATCCAGGGTCGCTATGGGTTAGAATTGATTCCGATGGCACTTAACAACACCACCATACATATGTAAGTTTCACTAGTTTTGTTTCTTTAAAGAACCCAGCCTAAGACAAAGTCACAACATACACAATTTTGTAAGAACATTAATGTTGTTAGGTGTCATCAAGTTGGTACCTACTCATAGCGACCCTATGCACAACAGAACGAAACACTGCCCAGTCCTGGGTCAACCTCACAATTGTTGCCACTCTTGAGCCCACTGATGCTGCCACTTTGCCAATCCATCTTGCTGGAGGTCTTCCTCAATTTCTCCGGCCCTTATATGAATTGTTGTTGTTGTTAAGTGCCGTCGAGTCGGTTTCGACCCATAGTGACCCTGAACAGGGTTTCCGAAGCTGTAAATCTTTACGGGAGCAGATCGTCTCATCTTTCTCCCATGGAGCAGCTGGTAGTTTCGAACTACGGACCTTGAGGTTCGCAGCCCGATTCATAACCACTACGCTACCAGAGCTCCTTTATATGAATAGTAGCTAAAAATTAAGTGTGTAACATTGCTTGTTGTTGTTAGGTGAGTTTCAGTTGGTTCCAACTCACAGTGACCTTATGAACAACAGAACAAACTACTGCCTGGTCCTTTGCTATTCTCACGGTTGTTGTTATGTATGAACCAACAGGTGCTGCCACTGTGTCAATCTATCTCTTTTGGGGGTCTTCTCATGGCTGTGTTTTCATTTTCTTCAGCTCCAGCCTAAACTTTGATATGAGCAACTGGTGACCTGTCCCACACTCTGCCCAGCCTTGTTCTGGCTGATGATGCGGAGCTTTTCTAGCTCTCTTCCTTCAGCACAGTGGCTCCATATGATAAGCACTGGGCTGCAAACAACAAGGTCTGCAGTTCAAGTAAACCAGCCATTCCATGGGAGAAAGATGAGGCTTTCTCCTGAAAAGATTTAAAGCCTTGGAAACCCTGTACTGGGTCGCTATGAGTTGGAACTGGCTTGACAGTATTGAACAAGAACAACTTCTCACAGATGTAATTAATTAATTCCTGTGTATGGCATCTGCTGAGGTCCAGTTGTCAGTCGCTGTTTATGTTGTTGAAAACGGTGTTGGCAAGACATAATTTTGCATTGGTCTTGCAAAATTCTACCATATGATCTCCAGAATTGTTTCTATCACTAAAGCCATGTTGTCCAACTATGGGTCCTTCCTCTTTGTTTCCAACTTTTGCATTCCAATTCATCTTTACTGAATGTTGGATCAATTTCAGATTAAAGAAGTTGGTAGGCTTCTTCAATTTCAACACTGATTTTAGTGATTTTACATAAATTTGAACAACAGTGACATTAAATGGTATTTCTTCTGTTGTATAGGGATTCGAAGGAGCAACTGGTGGGTTTGAACAACCAACCTTGTGGTTCAAACTGATCTTGCAGTCCATTGCTGTATCTTACAGTGCCACAGCAGGACTCTGGTCTTTTTTCTAGGTGTACAGATATTATTCTATCACCAACAGTACTATACTTCCAGACAGATCCTGAGGGTTCTTTTTGACAATGAATGTGATGCCATTCCTCTTCAGTTTGTTGTTCCTAGCACAGTAAATCATATAATTCTCTGAATCACAATCATCCACACCTGTCCATTTCAGGTCACTAATGCCTAGGATATCCACCTTTATGTGTTCCAGTTCATTTTTGACAACTTCTACTGCCCCATTTCATGTGTCGATTATTAATGAATATTTGCAGCTGTTTCTTCTCATTTTAAATTGTGCCCCATCAGCAAATGAAGGTCCTAAAAGCTTTTCTCTATCCATACCACTATGGTCAACACCACTTCAAGGAGGCAGCTGTTTCCAGTTGCATTTTGAGTGGCTTCTAATTTGAGGGGCTCATCTTCCAGCACTATATCAGACAATGTTCTGCCGCTATTTATAAGGTTTTAAATGGCTAACCATTCAGAAGTGGTCCGTCTTTCCTTCTAGTCTGTCATAGTCTGGAAGCTCTGCTGATGCCTGTCCACCAAGGTATTTCAGCATCACATAAGTCATCAGAGTACAGCACACTGACAAATGAGTGATGGATGTGTGTAATGACATAGGTAGATATGTATACTCATATATGTACAGATAAACACACATGACTATATGGTTTGCATGAGCGGTTTTTCTGTAGGTAAACATATATACTATAAGTCAGTGTTTGCTGCATATATGTCCATATATAAACTAAAGCACACAGAGGGCAGAGTTATGGATACATAGCTAGACAAACCAATATCTTATGGGATTGGGTTACTGGGTTTGATGGCTTAGTCTCAGGGGGCAACTCAGTCAATTGGTATAATACAAATCTTAAAGACGATGGTCTACATCCTAGTTTGGTGTGTAGTTGTTGTCTTAAAAGCTTGTGAGTAGCCAACTATTCATCTCCTTGCATCTGGAGCAAAAGAGAAAGAAGGTAACTAAAGACTCATAAGAAGAAACTAGTCTACAGAACTAACAGTCTACGTGAACCACAGCCTCACCTACCTTGAGACCAAAAATGGTGGCCAGCTACCACTACTGACAGTACTGACCAGGAACAAAACAAAACAGGCCTGGATAAAATGGGGAAAAAAACTATACAACAAAACTCAAATTCCTAAAAAAGGCCTTACTGAATGCTAGACATGATAGGAATCCCTGGAATACCCTTTAAACTTAGAATTCAAACCATCCCTGAAGGCCGCCTAACAGCCAAAAGACAGAGTGACTCATAAAATGAGTATTATTACCCATGAGTACTGTGTTCACCTGAGGAGCTCTGGTAGCATAGTGGGTTATGAGTCAAGCTGCTAATGACAAGGTTAGCAGTTCGAAACTACCAATTGCTCCATGGGAGGAAGCTGAAGCTTTCTGTTCCCGTAAAGATTTATAGCCTTGGAAACATGAGTCAGGGTCACTATGGGTCAGAATAACTCCATGGCATGTAACCACCACCACCACCACCGTGCTCGTGTAAACTATCATTTAAATAATATCTAATGGTCAACATCTACCCTAAACCAAAGATGAGCAGTAAGAAGGGACAGGGTTCAATCTGCAGTTCAACTTGATCTTACGGTCCAGTGCAGGGCTGCACCAGGAGCTGGTTAAATAACTATGGTACAATGGGATATAAAAATGCAAGCCTAGGAAAACAACCTCACTGACGAGGAACGATCCTCAGGATAGTAAGTGCAAACCTGGAGTGAGGAATAAAAAACACAGTATGAACGGTCAGTGAGTGCAATGAATGTTTCCAGAAAAGACACAGGAAACTCTGGAGAGGGAAACTGAGTGATCAAGGGTGGGAGGGAGATCTTTCCATAAACATCCTGCTGGAGCTTTTAAATATTGAATATTTTAAATAGTCACCATCATTAAATGACATGTTCTGCCTGAGACCCACCGTGGTCGGCAGCTTCCCACATGGCCTCCCATGATCCCCACTTCCTGGCATTCAGGTGCTTTCCTGGAGTGTGCCCTAAAACTGACCAATTGCTGCAGATGACTAGAACACAACCAAAGTGGTGAGATGCCACTTCTAAGATTAGGTCACACAAGACCCCAGCTTCCATCTTGTTCACTGGGTCTTCCTCTCTGCACGGCTGACTCTGAGGCAATCAGCTGCCAAGTTGTGAGCTGCCCTATGGCGGGCCCAGGAAGCAGCAGGGAGGTCCTGAGGCTGACAACAGCCTTGTGAGCCAAGCTGGAAGTGAGTCCTTCCCAGTGGAGCCTAGATACAACGGCAGACCACCTGCACTGCAGCCTCGAGTGAATCCCTGAACTAAGAGACCCAAGTAAGGCCTAGACTTCTGCCCCACAGAAACTGTGAGAAAAATAAATATGGTTTCAGTTGCTACATCTTGGGGTAAGTTTCTAATGTCTCTGGGGAGACATCCATGACAGGCTGGGCTCTTACCGGGGCGTCTGGTGGTTCCTCAAGGCCTCCTTCTTCAGGAGCGCCAGCCGCTGCGGGGAACAGAAACAGTGGTAAGCAGCTCCTGTCTTCAGCAGGGCTTCTGCAGCTTGCCCATACAGCTCAAGTCGCTGAGATTGATGGTAGGGTCCAGCAGGACCTCCCTGGCGGGGGCTCTCATCTGGAAAGATACCTGGAACAGAGAACGCCAAAAAGATCATCAGATAGAGGGCTAAGACACACAGCACTCAGCTCAGCGCTGCTCAGAGCGTCTTTCTAAAGCTTTCATTCTTCACAAGAGTCCCAGGTGTCGGTACTATGATGTTTCCATTTTACAGATAGGGAGGTTAAGTGACTTGCTCAAGGTGGAGGAAGGATTCAAGCTGAGGCAGACTGGCTTCACTGTCCAAGCTCTCATCCGTACACCCTCTCCATCGACACTCCCCCGAGTGAGGGAGAAACCGGCCTTGGCCTGGGAACCACTGACCAGGAGAAAGAAGCATGTTCTGAGCACAGCTCCTAGACCCTGGCTGGTCCCCTGGCTCTGCCACTTACTGGCTGTGACAAGAGACCCTCTAGTGGTGAAGGCACCCCCACCAGGCTGCTTTCATGCTTCATGATGCAGGGAAGCCTCAAACACACCTGCAGCGCACTTACTGACTTACCGTGGTGGGGGTAGCCATATTCCTGCACTCTGTGATGTACTGGGTGGTTATGTGCCATGGAGTCGGTTCCGACTCAAAGCGACCCTGAGCTTAATAGCCCGATTCATAACCACGACGCTACCAGAGCTCCTTCCGTTATTGTTGTTAAGCGCCGTCAAGTCAGTTCTGACCTATAGCAACCCTGTGTAGGGTTTCCAAGGAGCAGCTGGTGCGCTTGAACCACCAACCTTGCTGTCAAACTGACTTTGCAGTACAGTGCATGGTCCCATTTTGGAGTGAGTTGTTAATGGGACAGGATTAAGGTAGGATGAAGGAATAAGGACTGCTGATGGTGCTGTAGGTTAAGCATTGGACTGCTAACCACAAGGTCAGCAGTTCAAACCCACCAACTGCTCCATGGGAGAGAAAGTCTTTCTGCTCCCATAAAGATTCCTAGCCTTCGAATCTTGGTGGTGTTGTTGTTAGGTGCCATCGAGTTGATTCCAACTGGGTTTCCAAGGAGTGGCTGGTGGATTTTAACCGCCAACCTTGTAGTTAACAGTTCAGAGTTTATCCTACAGTGCCACACCAGGACCCCACTGGAAACCCCATGGAAAAACTATGAGCTTCTGACTCATAGAGACCCTCTCAGAAACCCTATATAAGGTCGCTGAGTCAGAATGGACTTTATGACACCTAACAACAAAAACACAAAGATTAATGTGGGACTAAGGATTAAGGTGTGGTGTTGTCAGTTAATATGCCAGAGAACCACAAGGTCGGTGGTTCAAGCTCACTAGCCACTCCTCAGAAACCCTATACAGGGTTGTTATGAGTCTATGAGACTTGACTGCTGCACTAAACAACAAGGATTAAGGTGGGATTAAGGGGTCCTGGTGTACAAAACTTGCTTTTTCTGGTTGGACGTTTAGCTCTGGCCCTGTTAGCTAGAGACCCAGGTCATGTCTTGTCAAAGTAATCCAGTATCAGATGAAGCGGTCATGTCACTTTGCGCTCTGCATTCCCTGACACATGGACATGTGCCTTGTCTCGAGGGTTTTGCTATTTCTCATGATGCTGTTTTGAGCGTTCAGCTCTGTGTCCATGTGCAGGTATGGTCCTTTTTCCAGGGCAGAGGGTCTCAAACTGTGGTCTCTGGATCAGCACTATGGCAGAACCCAGAAACTGGTTAGAAATGTAGATTCTTGGGCCCCAGACCCACTGAATCAAAAACTCAGGAGTTTGAGAACCATTGCTTCAGGATTTGCTTTTGTTGTTGCTAAATGTTGTCGAGTCAGTTCTGACTCATAGCAACCCTGTAACAGGGAGCCCACGGAGCGGCTGGTGGGTTTGAAACTGTGGACCTGATGGTTACCAGTCAGGACTTACCCTACAGTGCCACACCAGGACTTCGGCTTCAGGGATGCCTAGGCTTAATTGAAAGGAGCCGTGGTAGTACAGTGGGTAATGAGTTGGGCTGCTAACTACAAGGTCAGCCATTTCAGTTACCAGCTGCTTCACAGGAGAAAGATGAGGCTCTCCGCTCCCATAGAGATTCACAGCCTCAGAAGCCCTGTACAGGGTCGCTATGAGTTGGAACCAACTGAAGGCACACAACTACACCACCACGCTTAATTTAAGGGTTCAGGTAAGATTTAGAACTAAGGATGCCCCCACCTTACTAGAGGGTGTGACTCAAGTGAGTCACCATCCTTAGTTTCCTTGGGGTGTGGTCTGCGCACAATATATGGATGAGTGCTTTGGCAAAGTTTGCTCTCTTTCTCTGGACCCTGCACCTGGCTTGTCTGACCTCCAGGTAGTGCGACTTGTGGCCTGTCACCTGACCAGCTTCTGCAGTCTCGTGCTTCAATAATGTGTCATCTGACCTGCCAATGTGGGTTCCTCAGCCCCTACAATCTTCCAGACGGACACCTGAACCATGCATGGATTTGGAACTTGTCAGCCTCCATATTCTCATGATCCATTTCCTTGACACTGCAGCAAACTGTGGAACTGTGGGACATGAAGGGGAATACTGGTTGGGATCAGGTACTAGGGAGGGGTATAGCATCTTGGAAAAGTTGGACATCTGGGATATCTTTAACCTAACCTCATAGGGACCAAGTTCATGGTGGTTCTTCCAAAAGAAATTATTTGTGTGAATAATTGTTAGCAGGATTACTTGTGATTGTCAAAACTGAAATTGTAGAAGATGTGTAAGTAAAAGTGGGGAGTAGTCAATCTTTCATTTCAGGAAACAGACGATCCCAGATCATCAAGGATGGGCCTGAGTGCAGCAGTGAGCTCCTACCTATAAAAGCAGCAACAGCAGAGATGGTGGCAGAGGTGGCATGGAGAGACAGAGCAGCTGCAGGCTCTAAGCCCATGGAGTGAGTAAGGCTGTGTGTCTGCAGGAAGGAGGCTGGCTGGCAGAATGTGCCCTTTGGACATTTAAATGAATATACATTTTTTGTTTTGTATAAGTTCATTGAGTATTTTTGCTTTGTTCTCTTCTGAAATATAAGATGTAAACGGGGAACCACAGGAAGAAAGTAGCGTAACTGTTGTTGCAAGGAGGGGATTGTAATCATTGAGATGAAACAAAACATATGATATGTTGAACGTAAAGCTGATGATCTTGTCTATAAAGCTTTACTCAGTTCCCAATAAAAAGTTACAAACCAAAGTCAAAGCCACCTCACTATGATAGTTCCGGTTTTGGGTCACCAGGACTGGAGCAGGACTCTCAGTGGTTTGGCAGATGAGCTCTAGTTACCCCCATAAGGAGATCTGAAACCCTGTAATGGGCTCTATGAGCAGCTAATCAAGTGAAAGGACATCTCCTTGGGGTAGGGCCTGTTTCCAATACATGAGACACTCAGGCAAAGCTTATTTGCTTTCTGTTTGGTCTGGCGCTTGTATCTGGCTTGTCCTCGGACCTCTGGTTCTTTGGATGTGAGCCAGTGGCCTGCTCTATTACTTGCCAATTCTGGGAGCCAATAGCAGCCTGCCTGACAATCTCGGTTCATCTGACCCGGACTTGGGACTCTCCCACCTTAATTGTGAGCTATCCCTGATATCAACTTATCTTTATATAGCTTTGTTTCACTGGTTTTGCTTCTCTAGTGAGCCCAGCCTAAGGCAATCACTCTACCAGGTCAGTACTGTTATTACCCCCATTCTTTAAGTGGAAACTGAGGCACAGAGATGCTTCACTGAAGAGGCATCTGGTTAGTTTAGAACCAGATTCAAACTAGCGTAGCTGGCCCAGAGTCCACGTTCTCAAGAATTCATTATGCTGCTGCTTTCTAATCTCTGTAAAGTGGGGCTCACAGTCAACTGTGCAGTGATTCTGAAGACTAAACGCATCTGCATTTACAAAGTGGTTGGCCCAGTGGTTAACACCTAACACAGCTTCAACAGACGCTGTTAGATCAAACACGATTTATTATACAGGTGGCAGCCCCCAACTTATCATGGGGTTCTTTTCCAATGACTCAGTCATTAGTCAGTTCTGACTTAAGTTGAACACCTCATTATTCTTTGGAGTTTCCATTACTATAGCCTTCTAATGTCAGTGTATTTACAAATCGAATCTATGTCTTTGGAGGTTGGAACCATTACATATAAACTTACAGACACATTTCAATACATTTAAAAACAACAACAACAACAAAAAACACAGATGGTCACAAGTCTAATTTGTTGTAACTCGAATATGCTTAAATTGGGGACTACCAATATGTCAAACTCAAAGTCCAATTTCCTCAGGTCACACAGGATGCAATTAACTCTGAATGTTCCCAGTAGAGAGGTCAGGGGAGCACAGAAGAACCGGAGGATGGAGTTTCTGCCCTGAAACCGATTTCAAATGAATTAGGAAGATGAGGATGTGATTAACTCTGTAATATCTGATGCTAACACAGAATGTAACGTGGATGGCCCTTGTGCAAATTACCTTACTTCAAAGCTTCAGTTTCTTATCTGTAAAAGAAGCTCCTGTGCTAAGTATTCTTAGAACCCTACCCCACTGGGCCTCAGTTTCTTCCCATATCAGAAAAGAGGGTCGCATGAGGGAAGCTGGAAAGTCCCATCTTGATCTAACCTTAAGCATGTTTCTTCAATCTGCTCAACATTTCTTGAAATATTACAGGGTTTACAGATGACTTCCCCAAAATAATTAAAAACATGTTCACAAAAAAATTCCTAGCAGCATTTATCATAGTAGTCAACAAGTGGAAAAAACCCAAATGCACATCAACTGAATGGGTGACCAAGATGCGGTCAATCAAATCCACTACTCCTTAGCAACAACAGCCTGTGAAGCAGTGTCGTAGTGCTGCGGCTGCACCCTAAAGCACTGCGCTAAGGGTGTGAAGCCAAACACCAAACCCACATGACACCTGGATGTATTTAGAGGAAATGTCCCGAACAGGACAAGGCAGAGATTCAGAAGGTAGATTTATGGTGGCTAGGGGACAGCCGGGCAGGGGGATGGGAAATGGGATTTACATTTGGGGTTATGGAAACATTCTGGAATTAGGTAGTG